AGCAGTGGCTGTTGGAGTGTCCCTGTGTGGTCTCAGTGATTCTTTCATGATCACCCCAGAAAATTCTTCCTCTGTAATCACTAAGCTTTATTCCTATCAGGGCCATACCTAGTACTGTGGGAACCATGGAGCCACTCTAACGAGGGAGGAGGGATACACTGGATAACTTCTGTCCCTTCAGCCCAGAACGAAGTGACAAAGGAGCATGTAATGTGGTTGGGTCTGATCAGTGATTGTCTGAGATGCAATGTCTTGCTGAGACAGTGAGTGCTGCAGACCATATGAAGCTGGAAGTCTCCTGTGGTATTGTGGCAAACAGAATACCACATTATTGAGGTATTGTGTTTGCTCTGCCCATACTACACTTTAAGTACTTGCTATAGGCTACTGCCAGAAATGGCACTGAGCTAGGTGGATCATTGTTTTTTCCCAGTAGAGTCATTCTTACATCTCCGGTTGACAAGCAGACAGTGGGGCATCTCTTACACTGAAGATCCAGAGGCAAATTATGGCCATGAAGTTTTAAATATGATGCCAGCAAAGGCTGTGTGAAGAGCATAGAGTAAGACTTAATGAGGTTTCAACTCTTGCATAAACCTAATAACCCAGAACATACACATGACACTCTTGCAAAACATCCAGAAATCTCTCTCTTCCCCCCCTCCCCCCCCCAAGGATTAGCAGTGCCCTGCAAATTGAAATGATCAAACTTGAAGTAAGAGCTAAGAAAAACATCGTAAATCCCATGTGCTTTTATGTAGTCCCAAACATAATCATAAAAGTAGTAACAAAAGCAAGTTTCCCAAACTAAAAATATGTGCTCTGATTTGAAGAAAGAGAAAATGGAAAAATAACGTTACAGCATCAATAATAAGGATTTCACCTACCCAGGAAAGTATGGCTGCACTACATGAAACATCAGGTCCTACCCAGATATATCAGTATCTTTCATAACCCTGAAAGAAAAAGGAAAAGAGACTGGAGGAAGGACAGCTTACACTGGTGGAAAGGATATCTTCAGTAACAACATCACCCTACCTATCAACTTGCCATTCAGAAACAAATGGCAACAAGTAAACCAGCATCTAAGCCCCAAACAGTGTAAACGTTACATGATACTCAGAGAGCTAAAACCCATAATGCTTACATTTTGGAAGATTTACACAGTGTCTTTCCCACTGGCATGGAGCTGGATCCCCAAGACAGCATTTCCTATGTATCAGTCCACAGAATAGCCATGGAAAAATAGCAGGGTACAGTTTTTAATCCTAAAACACAAGTTCTGCACTGTTACAGATTGAAGTTGATTTTGCTCATCAAAGGGATGGAAAAGTTTGGATACAAATCCAAATTCCCCCCATGCTTGGCAACATGGAACTGGCTTGGATTTTATCCATCTCTAATCAGTGAACATTCATTTGTAATTCGGATTCCTTGGATCATGGGAGCTACCAGCTGCTGGATTCTGAAGCAGACCTGGCCATAATCCTCCATGATAAGGTCAGGCAGGCAGTTACCATCTGAAGTGTGGGAGGATGATAAGCTGTAGCTGTGCTGATCAGTCCAGGTAAAGTTCAGAGAAGTTCAGAGAGGCAGTTTATTGTTGCAGGTGCATAGCAAACTCCCATACATCACCCAGAAGAAGCATAACTCTCCTTAACAATATACCAGGTATGAAAGCAGGTGATCAACCCACCCCAATCCACCTACACACAGTGAGATTTGCAGTGTTGTGGAGACATTTTCCCCAGGGCCAGAGCACTGCCAAAACAGACCTGTGTGAGTTGCAATGGATGCTACTGCATCCTACTGCTGCAGTGCAACGTTGGTGTAAGGGCAAGCCATTATTGTGGTCACAGGAATCCTGCAGGAGACAGATTTGGGGACACTAGTGAGATCTTCCAATAGAAGAAGGCAAGTTAAGAATAGCAGCCGGGGGGGAGGATGGGACAGCACAAGCCAAGAGGCTGTGGTTAACTCTCCTGATAGACGTGACTTTGCAGAGAGGCAAAGGGAATTTGCACAGCAGGCCTTACTGAGAGTGACTGAGGCTGATGACTTCAATAACACTGCCCCAGAGAGCAAGGGGCTCCAAGCTCTGAGCCAACAGGCAGTCTGAGCTGTGTCAGCTGCACTGGAGTGCTGATTAGGCACTTCTCCTCATCTGAACAGACCCGTTCCGGCAGGAAACAAGGCCACAAAGGTGCTGCCAAATCTGAGAAAGCCGTATCCTGGGGTCAGAGGCTCTTCTCTTGTGCGTCAGCACACTTCCAGAGAGGCTAAGGGACGTCTGCTGGCTTACAGAGCTGTGTGTCTGGCCTGTGGGTGAAAGAGATAAAGGGAATTAAACTGCTTTTCATTTAGCCTCTGGAATTTTTGGTGTATGGGTAAACTGTGATGGTATCAGGTAAGAACGCAACAAACTTCAACATTTTACAAAAGCAGAAACGTCTCAGCTGCTACAAAGGGGCTGAAGGGGTGAAAGATTTTAACAGTGAAATAATGAAAACCACATAACTGCAACCTTTTGTGCAGGTTGCCTCAGTTCCATTAGCAAACCCTTCCAATCCAGCACAACAGAAGGCTACAGATCACTCAGCTGAAGCCCAGAGGATGGAACCGACTTGTGTAAAATTATCCAACAAGTCAGCAGCAAATCTGAAAAGATGGGAGGCCAGCAGCCTGTCTCCCCACAGCTCACCAACCTGACTAGTGCTGTCTGGCCCATGAGGATATTCCAAGAGATTGGCAAAATGTGTATTTATTTATTTATGTTAGGTGCTGGGATGCCTAATGAATGCTGCTAGTGGTACATTTCAGGGGCAAGAGAGAAATCTGTGCATAGAAGCTTATGGATCCTGCTCATAGCTATGCAAATAAAAACTCTCCCTTGGTAAAAAACCTAAAAGGGCAGAATCATCAGAGCTTATTTATGCAATGGCAAGTAGAAGACTTTCAACCTAAACCACTTTTAAAAGCACATTCTGAAATTTAAAAGAAATGTCCCTTTAAAAATAAGGAATGCGTCTCATGTTCTTATGTTAATGAAGATCTTTCAATAGGGGAGAAATGAACTAAATAATTGTACACAAAAGAGAGAACCCACAACACACAGGGAACTGTCAAAGGTACAGAGATCACAAGTTAGAAACCAGAAAGACTATATTTTTGGTAAACTGGCAAATACTTGAGACTGGAGATGGCCAGTTGTGTCTCTGACTCTATCTTCTATCACATGCAAATACATCATACAAAGCCTTCTCACCAACTGATTGATCTAGCTCTGCCACAAAGCTCATTTGGGTTCTTGATGCAGTTAAAAAAACCTGTTGGTGCCATTGGTAACTGGGATGGTTGATAAACAATGACAAACACTGGTACTGATTCTAACAGTGCATATTTAAGCTCTGTCCAGGCACTCACAAGAGAGCTTAGGCAGTTCTTATTGATACCTTTACATCAGTATTTTGTACACACCATTAAAAATTAGTAGACTGAAGGAATTTATGAGACATAGAGTAAGGCATGACTGAACCTAGCAAAGTTATATGAGAAGGTCTAAAATGTCTATCCAGACTTCAACAATGGCAAGCTGAAAATGCTTTGGAAAAGAGCATGCAAAATCAGTTATCCCTGGTTTTCCTCTCAATTGGCAGTCCAATGACTTCCTGAGATGGAGCTCTCATCAGGACCATCAAAGTAAATAACTGCTGGTAGATCTTTTGTTAATTTTTCTGTTTCTTTTTGAATTAGCTTATCTCTCTGTTAGGATTTCCTTTTACTATGGTAGAGCTGAATCCACAAATCTTAATTAGTTCCCCAGGCAGTACAACTTTTAACAACTCCCTCTGTTTCTTCAGGTCTGCTGGTTGTTCTGCTCATAATCCAGACCTGTCATTCTCTTGCAAGGAGCGTTTGCTGCACAGACACAAAAATCCATTCCTGAAGTAAATGAATTGCCTTATGTTAAAGGTAGTGTTCAGTCTCATAAGTATCTTATGAAACACACCCTAAATTTTCCATGATGCTTAAAAGCAGACATGTATTATCCTGCCTGATTACTAGGAGAGGGGTGGGGTAGCTATACTGGTCCTGCTTGCCCTATCCTGAGAAGCTGGAGTGCGAAAGTGTTTGTATCATCCACACTTCACAAAATGTGAATACTAAAATCAGTCATAACCCATCATATCTGCTAGTAGAAGGATTGAGTCTAGGTGTCTGGGGATTTGTGGGCTTTCAAGTCACAAATACTTTCAAAAGGAGCAAAGGGAACAGGCAGGAGTAGACTGCCAGGCAGCAACATCTCTTGTCCTTTCTGGCCTAGAGTGTATACCCATTTGACAAAATAAGCACAGTAACCTTGGGGTGATACACTTTAAGATGTTAACATCAGTTAATTTAGGACTTTTTTTGTGTGTAATGTCCTGGTACACGTGTCAAAACAGCCTACAGCATCCATACCCATGCCTGCAATGGCCCATTCCTGCCCACCAGACCTCCTTGCTCCCATGTTGCCACCAAGAGAGTTCATGGAAAGGGGGACAGCATTAATTAAAAATGCTTAGAAATGGTGGTGCTTTTCCAGTTAAGGAGTGCGGAATGGGCATGAGGGCCTGCAGAATTTCAAACACCTCCAGGAAAGCAGAAAAGTGCATAACAGCCTTTCCCATCCCACCACCCTGCCCCACAGCCCCTAATTGCTGGCCTCTCACCTTCTTACAAAGAGGCTTTCTGTGCTCAGAGAGGGACGCTTCCCACTTACCATATGCACAGATCTGTGTCCTTAGGCAGAGGGTGTGTGCACAGGGAAGGGGTCACAGCCCTATCTAGCCCTAGTGCCACCCCACAGGCCTGACCTCAGTGGGAAGAAAATAAAGAGAAAGAAGTCGAGAAAAAGAGGAGAGCTGAATAGGGGGGGCAGGACGATGGGAAGAGCAGAGAAGTAGGGAGGGAAGGAAGAAAGCGGAAAAAAAAGGAGGAGAAAGGGGAGGAGATGAAAGGCAAAGAGAGGAGGGAGGACCGGGCGGGTAGGAGGCGAGAGGCCGGGAAGGAGAGAAGTGAGGCAGCTCGCAAAGACGGACGGGACGGGACAGGACCCGGCGCCCCACGGGCCATGCGCCTCCTGGCCACGGCGCTGGCCGCCCTGCTGGCCTCGGCCCCGGCCCCAGGTAAGCAGCACCGCGGGCGCTCAGCGGCCGGTACCGGGCAGAACCCCCCCCCTCAGACGCGGGCTGCCGTCATCCCCTTCGTGCCTTGGAGCTGTGTCCGGCAGCGGGGCTGGCGCAGCGGCCCCGAGCAGCGGCAGCGCCCGGAGCTTGGGCTCCAGGAGAGGGGGCTTACAGGGATGTTCGGGGAAGCCCGGCAGTCCCCTGCAGCCGGCGGGTCATCCCCCCCGGCCCGGAGGATTCCGCACCCAGCTGTGCCGCCGCTTCCCGGGCTCCCGATGGCAGCGTTTCTGCACAGCGACCTGCCCCGCAATGTGGGCTTAAAAAAGAAAACCTTTCCCGTGCAGAAGTTCATGGAAACGCGTTCTCCGCTGCCTGCTGTGCCAGGCGGGACAACGCTGAGCTGCACCGGGGCACTGCAGGCAAAGCTGAGGCAAAGACAGATTCGGCATTGTTTTTTTCCACAGGTGCCTAGGTCCCATAGACACCCAGTGAAACAGAACCTCTAGGTCACTTGTAAAAAAAACTTTATTCGTTCAAGTCCTTTATCCCTCCAAAATCAAAGGTGCACTGCCCAGTGTTGTGTCCTAAAACTGCAACAGAGACACAGAGGCTGGATCTGAACTTCAAGGTGCAGTGAGGGTTACAGGAATTAGGAAACTGGAATTAGGAAGCCTTGCTTATTCAAGAGTTCAAGGTTCAGCTTGAATCTTCACCTCAAAAGAGCAGGAGATAGTGGAAGCAGAGGTTTGGGTCAAGTCCATCTTTAGTCAGTACAGAAGCTTTCCCTGAGAAGGAGCCTTAGACTTGTGAAACTTGCAGACAGATGAATTCAGCTGAAACCAGCTGGCTGCTGTTGTTGATCCTGCTAGCCAGCTCCTAATTATTTTCATTTAAACAAAGAGCTTTGCTTCTTCCTGGCTCACCTGCTCTTCTTACTTTTTAATTGTAGAGGAGTCAAAATAAAGCAGCCTTTGACAGTAACATTGCTTCACAGGACAAACTATAACACAGATGAAAGCCATCCCATATGCTTCTGGTCGTGCAAATCTGAGGTCAGATCAGAGATACCCAGATGGCATGCCTGTAACCCCTCAGCTGTCACCAAAGGCTGAGGATAAAAGCCCTCAACCCTGGATGATGGGTTGTAGGCTTTACCTGTCAGACTCCATTTGGGAAGGAATAAGGGTTGATACATGACACTAAATCTGGACTCTGAGCACAGTAGCAACTCTGCTTCTATCTCCGCTTATGTAATTGGGGTTCTTACACTAAAACACAGCCACACTGAAACTACTTACCAAACACAAGGACCCAGCAGTGACTGAGGGTCCTTTGCTGCAATTCTAGCACAGAGAGAGGGGACAACCCTGCCAATTACAGGTTTCTGGCTCCTAAAAGTATACTTTGTTGCTCCTGACAGTGCTGTCAAAGTGCTTTGCAATGTAATATGGCAGACAACAAAGTCAAACCAGCTAATACTTGGAATTGAACTGGTGTAAGCAGAAGTGGGCTGCTTTCAAAATATGACTTTTCAAAACAGACTTTAAGTAGCAATAATCTTCCCTGATTCCCTACAGGCTAGTGAGCCAGGCAGGTGAAGGGTACCAATGAAATAAATAGAAGAAACATTGGGATGGGGGCAACTAAGAGAGCTGGTTGCAAAAGGAGACATGTATTTAATGATCAAACACACTGCAAAGGAATCCTCAAGTCTTTGTCTCACTCTTCTCACTCTGTAAATAGTTTCCCTTTCTAAGCAAAAGCAAGACTAAAACATGTGGTGAGCTCCACCTGAGTGGCTACATGACGCTATACTGGGAAGGCAGGAGAAGAAAAACAGTGATTCCTCACTTGAAGCAATAATCTGAAGTCTAGAAATTCAGTGCTCTGTTGGCACACAAGCCTGCTCTCAAGTTGTGGAGGAGTCTCCTGTGTTGGCAAGGTTCCCATTACAAGGGTAAACCTGATTCTGGCGCTGATCCAGTGCCTGCTAAATACAAGAGGAACATTTCCAGTAGTGTTTGGGAGCCCTAAATGAAACTTTTCCTTTCCACATAAGACGTAAATGACCTCTTTCCTCCAAAACCCACCACTGTTCCTGCTCCAAAGGCAGTGGGAAGATAGAGTCAAATGGACACTGTTTTTCTATTTTATAGAAAGTATCACCTGGCACTGTTCAACATGAGATGAGATCAGGGTAAAAGAGCCAGGAAATTTCCAAAGCTCTCCCCATTGCTGCACTTGTACAGCCACACCAACTGAAGCTGCAGAAGGAAGACAAGGAGATGTATTCCCACTAATCAGACAACATGAAGCATACAAAATTTGATATTTCCTTAGAAAAAAGGCATGTCCCCAGAGGAAAAATAGGAGCCTTAGGTATAAAATACTAATGTGTGAGTGAGTGTAAACAGCTAGAAAGGGATCAGAGACTCTGTGTACAATGCTTCTTTATCTTCTTGCACAGGCTTCCATCTTTGCCGTATCTGAGTTCTTCTGTATTTTCTCTTGGGTACTTTTTGGCACTATGTTCTGCCTAGTTGTGAATTAAGCAATGATTCTTTGGCCTTTTATTTTAGGACTCTATTCCACAGTTAATCCTAGCCAGCTTTTTCAAACAAGAAGTTCGCATGTCAGGAAAATGACATAATTGTTTTTCTTTACAGTTTTTCACGATATGTTCATAATTTCAGTAGAAAAAGTTTGTGTTTTTCATTTATCCAAACCACATTTTTGAGTTATTAAATATTTACAGCCCAAGTATTTATGAGAACCCCAAAAGTGCTGAAATCTTAAACTTATTTACTGAGCAGCATAACCTTCAAAATCTGATCTTATTTTGGTGGCAGAGGCAGCCATCTTCACATCTGGCTGTAAAACACCAAGGTCAGGTAACTTCAGCAAGTAATAACTGGAGTTTCATGCCTGGAAAGCTTTTTGTGGTGTTCAGCCTTAATTTTAATTTTTAACATCCTGTTCTACTTGTGTGCTTTCTACAATCCAAAATAATCTCTTGCTTTGGCACTTACATGAGTTGCACACACAAGCATCATACACAAATAATTATATCCATAATCTAGGCCATGCTCAGTAGCAGTTTCTTAAAGCAATTTAGGAACTCCTCCTTTATGCAATTTATTTTCTCCTTCATAAAGAAAAAATAATGTCTACTTGGAAAAAATATACCACTCTGTGTATTTGAAGTGAAACCAAAATAATTATTTTACTGTTAATTTTCATAGAGTTCTTCTCAAACACGTGCAATGTAACTAATCTAAGTGGATTTACTTTAAGTAAGGTGCTACAATTCACCACTCCATTTCATGGCTTCATTGGGAACATAAAAACAGTGTCTCTGTCTCCAAAACTGTTTCAGAAATAGCATGAAAATACTTTACTTGCTTATTTTGAAGATAAATATATGTTTGGGTTTCAGGAGCTGATGTCAGACAAAAGACTGCCAAAACGCTCATCCCCTTTGTTAAAATGTTCCTAGCTGATGTGCTAGAAAAGGGTCTAGAAATGAAAAGTAATTCTCCCAGATTTGCAATTCTCATTAGTATTTGACTACAGTATATTCACATAACAGGAAGCTTAATATTCACATTTTAGAGGACATTTCATGCTTTGCAGAGTGCATTGCAGAGCGTGCTTACTCACTGTTGAAATATGGTGCTCTCTCTAGTGGATGCCATCAGACCAGTAGGTTACACATTACAAGTCATTTAGGAAACACATTGCCACAATATACCATTGGTTAAAAAAAAGATCAGTCTCTGATATGACTAATAAGAACATTATTAATGTGCATTAGGAAGGAAATAAAATGAGCGTTGATTCCCATGATTCAGAAAACCAGTCCGGCATAAATCAGTTAGGTCAGGAAAGAAAATTTTCCTGTAATGATCAGCTATGGAATTCTTTCAACCGTCATCTATACTGGCTGTTGTTAGGAGTAAAGCAGAGAGACAAACAACTGGCTTAAGCTAAATTGATGATGAAGAACAGAAAAACAAGAGTCAGAAATAAATGGAACAATGGAATAGTCATTTGTCCCAATATAATCTCATGTCATATTTTGTCATGCAAATAGCATCAGTTTAATTTGAATTTGTATTCAGAAGGACTAATCTGAGAGATTTAACCCAGGCTTGAGGTGACCATTTAATAACAAGAAGACGACATGGAGAACTGCAAAGTGAGGAGCTGGTTACAGTCATATAGGGACATTAGCAGTCTTTTAGCGATAAACTATTCAACAGCATCATGTAAGGTTTGCACAAATGATATCTAAAAGAAGTAGACAGAAGCATGCACATTGAAATTATGTGACCTTATAAAGTCAGCATACGACAGGGATAGTATGTAGGAAAAACTGAGGGCCAATTAACAAAAGTGGAGCAGAACAGTAAAGCAAAGTCAAGTACTTCAGGATTAGTAAGAGTTTGACAAAGAAGAAAAGATGCTCAAGTTTATTATTTAATTTTAAACTGACATATAATCACATGTGGAAATATCATGAGAAAGGACAACGTAATTCTGGGATATACCAGGCAAGGTATATCCCAGACAAATCTGGGAAGTACCGTGACTATTTCACAGTACATTGGAGAGCTGCTTTTCAGACACTGCCTATAATTCCAGTCACACACATTAGGAAAAGATGTAAATAATTACAATCAAACCCAAAATTTAAACAGGAACCAGTACAGAGAAGGGCTATTAAGGTGAACAGGGAAGTGAAGACACTACTTCGCTAAAGGAGACTAACAGAGCTTTGCTTCTTCAGCTCAACAAAGCAATGGCTGAGACACCAGATAGTTGCTTTCTATAAGGACTCAGACAGCAAGGGTTAGAGAAGAAAACACTATTTAATCTTAAAGTTGGGACAGGAAAAATAGGCATAAGGTGTCTATTGAAATAATTTAGCCTGGAAATCCTAAGAAGTGTGCAAATCATTGGAATAGCTGGTCGTGGAACAGTTTTGCAAAAGATATTCTTGGCTCTTACCCCAAGCTAGTTCTACACTAACACTTGTTCAGACTGATAAAAGATTATGTGATGTTGGGCTTATGAGAGCAGAAAGGTGTCCACTTCAACCCCATCTTATTTATTAGCAACAGCAAGAATACTAGAGGAGGCTCACTGAAGGAGGGCCTTGTACCAGGTAAAATATTCACAGACAGACAGATGGTGTCAGGTTCTAAAAGCTCATTAAATTGCTGCGTACTGAATAGATGCCATCAGTTTACCTGCTGTGGACTTGCACACTGGGACAGATGCTGTTGTGCCAGCATGGAGGGCTCTCACTGTCTTTTGTCTCCTTTGCAGATGTTTGTGGGGCTTTAAATGTGACAGTCTCTCCAGGACCAACAGTGCGATACTCTGAGGGAGATAATGCTACCCTCTACTGCCACATTTCTCAAAAGAGAAAGACAGACAATTTGCTGGCTGTGCGGTGGGTCTTTGCTGCGTCACCTACTCAGGAGTATCTGATGATCAAAATGACAAAGTTTGGGTCTGTCCAGTATTATGGTAATTATACTCATCATTTCCACAAACAAAGACTTCATCTTCTTAAAGAGAAACATGGAAATATGTACAAATTTCTTATTCTAAGTCTCCAGCAAACAGATCAAGGACATTACATATGCAAAGTCCAGGAAATTGGCAAACACAGGAATAAATGGACAGCATGGTCAAATGGCACAGCAGCTACTGAAATAAGAGGTGAGAGACTACTGATTTCAATTTTATTATTTTTCTTGTCCCATGAGGCCTTTTAAAATTTTCTTTCAAGTTCATCCATAAGACATTTGAAGTTAGGTTATTTTTAAGTGTTAGGATAGGAGAAGAAAACCTAATACTCAACTTCTTTACTTACACATTACAATTTAACCATTATTCAGCCCATAATAAAATGCAAAGAATTGGGAAGGTTGATTGATAGATTTGTAGCAGGTAGTCTATTTCCTTTGATTTTTACCAGAACAGCAGTAATTAAAATTCCTTTGCATTCAGCTACAGGTTTGTGGTGGGTTGACTTTGGCTGGATGCTGGCTGCGCATTCTGTTGCTCCTCTCCTCAGCAGGACAGGGAGAGGAGAAAATGAGATGAAAACACCCTTGTAGGTCAAGATAAAGGCAGTTTAATAAAGTAAAGTAAAGCAAAGGCCATGTGCAGAAGCAAAAGAAAACAAAAAAAATATATTCTACTTCCCATTAGCAGGTGATGTCCAGCCACTTCCTGGGAAGCAGGGCTTCAGTCTGTGTAGTGGTTGCTCCAGAAGACAAACACTGTGATAATGAACGTCATTCTCCCTCCTTCTTTTGTTTAGCTTTTGTTGTTGAGCAGATTCCATACTGTATGGAATATCCCTTTGGTTGGTTTGGGTCAGCTGTCTTAGCTATGTCCCCTCCCAAGATCTTGCCCATCCTCATCTTACTAGTGAGGGGAAAATGTTGGAGAGACAGCCTTGATGTTTTATGAGCACTGATCAGCAGTGGCAAGGTACTGGTGTGTTATCAGCACCTTGTTCGCTGCTAATACAAAGTACAGGGTTGCTGTGGAGAAAATGAACTCCACCTCAGTCAGACCCAATACAAGGTCTCTACAACTTTGCTAGTGGGAATAAACGAATACCATTATTATTATTTAAATACAAAGAAACAGAGAGAAATTGACTTATTTTCTGAAGAATATGCAGTGGGTCAGCCAGAAATAGAACCATTATATTTTAGATTTGTGTTTGGCATCTCTCGTGGTGTTCTCATTGCTTTCAGTTCTAGTCCAGCAGCACTTGGCAAGTAACATTTCTAGTTATCACTTTTTTACTTTTGTTTATATTACGTATAGCGACAAAGCACAGCTAGAAAAGCAGTGAATGCCTGCTGACATTGAACTTTAGGTAAAGAAAGAACCACCAACAAGTGGGGGTTTAAACCAAGTTGAAAACAAGCTTTCTGCTTGGGATGGATCATCTCAAATCTGTAACACCACCACACCCACACATTCAGAGATGTACAAAACTGGCCTTAGAGAACAGACGCCTTTGAAGAAGTGGTTGAGCTCAGCAGTTGTACTGTTAGGGCTAGCTGGCAAACTAGCCCCCTCATTGTGGCTTTATAAACAGAAAAGTTGGCTTACCACAGGGTCAGCTCTAAAGATATTGCCAAAAATCAAGGTTGAGTGCTTGGTCCATGGGTCTGGAAATTCAAGAAGCTCATCCGGCAATCACAGAAAAACTAGTAGGAGGAAACTGTATTTCACAAACTTTTTGCCATTCCTGTTCATGCTAAATTTGTTGTGTTTAGACTGCAAAAGGTTATTCCTGCAGCTGGAAAACCCTAATCCTGCTTATCTATGTTGTGTTTTGGTGAAAATGGCCCTATCTTTCCTCTGAAACCAGTTTTGGTTGGAGGGAACTCTACTGACTACAGGCCTTTTCAAGATGGGTTTGAACATATTTATGTAGTCTTAATCTAAATCATTCCCTCAATGCCAGCTTCACAAGTGTCATTCAGGTTTTTGTATTATTTTTGGATTACAAACACAGCAGGGAGAGAAATGTGACAGTAAAAAATACTATTTTTGAGTGTGTTATCTCCAGTGGGTAGCTTTCAGGTACCACAAACTTTCACTTTGATCTATCAGAAGTTTGAGAGCAAAAATGTGAAAAATACAATATAACGAGATAAAGAGCAGCTTCAGGTTGACCAGCAGTGTTTAAAAATGCCTCGAGGAATCACGGCATTAACATAATGTAATTAGCTGATTATTAGTAGGAACGATGAAAGACACTAATGATCCAAAGCTGAAGTTCTGTTTGGATCAGTAGCAAAGATGATGGCTCAATTTTAAGCGACAGCAAGAAAATCCTAGTCTAAACTATTTTGTCTTATTGGGCATGCAAAACTTATCTGGAAAACCTCCATGACATTCATTTTGGATTTCCTCTGCTTCCTGACTGCAGACAGTCAGAAATAACAACAAAGCAGGACCCAAGTCCAAATGGGAACCCAAACCCTTAGCCTGTCTCCACCAGGGAAACGTCTATCCCTCCAACACCCAGACCCCAGCCACACTTCTTTTGCACAGAAGATTACAGAACCAGGACTTAAAAGAAAACTCCACCAAAGTACATTAGACTCCTAAATACAAATCTCCAGGGCAATCAGTACCATGGGTCAGAAATGTAATCCTGCAGCCAAATGCCATCTGTAATCCATAACCTGATATTGTAAAGAAACCAAAGGCTACATGATCACACTATCAACTAGTCTGCACCATTTTGAATCCATGGGCTGATTTTTGAGATAACAATCTTAAAGATATTAAGGTTGTACAAGTAATGTGAAATTGTCGAGGGGGGGGGAGAGAAGATCCATATGAACTTCCTCACTGAAGGAAAGCTGTAAGAAGAAAAAAAGGTAATTACTGCTCTTGAGCTGCCATCTTTCTATCCAGTGACCTTCCACATCACAGTCAGTAATTGGGGTTCCTGAACGTACCACAGGATTCATTAGCTTCACAGCTCAAAGAACAGTTTCTTGTTTGATTTTTGTTGCTGTTTTCACTCTTCTGTTTTTAAACAGGGAAGAGTAAAAACACTAAAGTAAAAACATCTCCTGAACTCAGCCATCTTAATCTCTGGAGGGCATTAAGTTTTATAAGCACTGACCCCATGTTGAGTGGCTGGAGCCAAGGCACAGTGGTTAGTCTTGTAACCACACAGGGATATGAAATGAAACTTTACTGCATGCATGATGTAGCCCTACAGACTTCAGGCATAGTTTGCCTCATGCTCAGCAGCTGTTCTTCCCTGTTGTTCCTGCAGTTGGCTAGGAACCGGCTCTTCTCCTCCTCTCCCAATTTCTTCTTCTTTCATTCCTGTAGATTTAACTGAAAGGGGAGATTCAGCCACTGGCAACCAGGAGGTCTGATCATCCCAACTGCCTCAGCCTCCCACCTTTGGGAAGGGGCAACACTGATGACTGGTGTGGGGAAGGGAAGCCAAGGCTCTCATCTCAGCCTACAAAGAGCAAGTGGTTCAAATGCTATGCCAGGGGAGAAGACGAGGAGAGACTGAAAGTAACTACCAAATGTGGCCGCTTTCAACAGTGCCTTGAATAGATGGTCAGGGCTGAAGCTTTCAAGCCTACAAGCAAGGCTAGGAGGCCATTGTTCAATCCCAGAGTCTTCCAGAGGATAGGCTAGGCTTTTTTTCCAGTGTTTTGAAGAAGAATTTCTGAGGGTAACTTGAGGGAAGGGAAGGCCAGGTCTGATGTGAAGAGACAGAAGCAGTGAAGGAGGAGAGTGCTGTTTCAGTTGCATCAGACCAGGTAGCTGTCTCCATGAGCTGTACACTAAAACATACAATGGATGACAAGTAATGTGTTTCTTGCATAAAAAACCTGCAAAATAGACCAATAGATGTGCCCAAAGGGTACGGAATAATAAACAGGCTTATGGGAAAAAAAAAAAAAAAGAGAAAATCAGATGGAGAATAATTTTTAGATTTTTTTCTGTGATAATGTCATTTCATGGGGCAGGTCAGCAGTTTAAAGAGTGTTCTCATTCACTGAATGATGGACTTTCTTAAATGCCTATAGGGAAATATATGGATTTGTCAGGAGTGCTTGGAAGGGGGAAGATGTGCTCCAGCATGGATGGCAGAAGAAAAAGAAAAATAAAATATCGTGAGATCACGTGTCATATCCCTCCTCACACAAAGCCATTCTGTATCTTTCTTTGCTGCTCAGGCTATTAACTAAACACAGAAATCTCTCATTTTTCTTCATAGCCAAAGTGTGAGTCCAGATCAATTTAGTTACTGCAAAGAAGGGAAACTGTAAATTTTCAGTCTACCCCTTAAATACCATTCCCTCTCCCCCCAGTTTTTAGTATGATTTAAGAATATAGAATCAGGGTGGGTATTTGAGACTCAGAATCACAGACTGGTTTGGGTTGGAAAGGACCTTAAAACCATCTAGTTCCAAGCCCATGGCACAGGCTGCGATACCTTCCACTACACCAAGTTGCTTATGATTTCATCTTTCCCACACTGGTGAGATGTACTGCTTCTCAGTGCTTCAAACGTGACCCAAAGCAGAGCCAGAAACCTGAGACAAGGAAGGAAGTCAGGCCCACCTGTAGACTAAACACAGCAACAATAAGCCCTGTGGGGATCTGAGGCAGACAACATCACCACCCCAGCCCCCCAGAAAGAGTATTCTAATTCTACATCCAGATTGAAGATACTAAAAGACATCTGAAAAATGTCACATCTTAAAATGCCATAACAACTGTTTTACTGCTGAAAGCCTCTTTACTGCAAACAAAGGACCTCCTTAGCTAGCATTCTGTTAATGCACTGTGAATGCACAGGACTTGCTGCACATGGGAGGGAAAGCAACTCTTTCCAGAGTGGTGATAAAGTCTCCAATTTCCCCAATGGTAGCACTTGGGCTTTTCAAGGAAATTTTCTTCCAAACACATTTTGTATTTTATAGTATGATTGGTTACACTTTTTATTGCAAAGGGATTTACTTATATTACAGTTAGATCCAGGATGAAACAAAAGGAGCAATACAAATTGCCTGAAGCATTTTGATACTAAAATTGTACTGCTTGTGCTTTATCAAATAAGGTAATAGTGTTCACACTCATTATGGTTGCCATCTTGTCTAATATTTTGTTCCAGTTAATGTGTCCACAGTTATGCCCAAATTCAAAATAGTATCTTTACATTAAAGCACCAGGTAAATTTCTTACAACCTTGCATATCATATAGATGAAGAAATAGCATTTATATCCCTGTTCTTATTCACACAGAAAGAGGAGGTGACTGTGCTAGACAAATTTCCAGAGGGAATGGAAAAGGGTCATTTGGCTTCTTCAGAATCTTGAAGTAGAAGAAACCTGCAGCAGTTCAGTACATAGCCTTTGTCATCCACCTAGCATAGCACTGTACAAAGCAAAATGCTTCACCAGATTGCAGTGTGGTCTGTAATATATTCCACTATTAACTTATTCAGATGTTTACTTGGTAGTAAGTTTGCAGGTGTGAATTTATGCAGGCCATTAAGAAGTTGCAAATACACTTTTTTTGCAATACATAAATTTCTACAGATACACATATCAGACTTGTGGAAAAACAATTGAGTTAGAGGTGATAGCTTCTAAATGTGCAATGATGGCAGTTAAAAGTTTAGCTACATACCTGGCTTCTCCTTTACGGGCAGAATCATAGAATGTTTAGGGTTGGAAAGGACCTTAAGATCATCCAGTTCCAACCTCCCTGCCATGGGCAGGGACACCTCACACTAGACCATGTCACCCAAGGCTCTGTCCAATCTGGCCTTGAACCCTGCCAGGGATGGAGCATTCTCCACTTCTTTGGGCAACCCATTCCAGTGCCTCACCACTCTCACAGTGAAGAACTTCTTCTTTATATCTAACCTGAACTTCCCCTGTTTAAGTTGAAACCCATTACTTCTTGTCCTATCGCTACAGTCCCTGATGAAGAATCCCTCTCCGGCATTCTTGCAGGTCCCCTTCAGATATTGGAAGGCTGCTATGAATACATTTCTTCAGAAAAGGAGCCTCATCTGATGTGGATGGAGTCTTTACAGACTTCTGTTCATGGACTCACATGTCAGCTACAGAAACGCTGTAGTATTTTCAGAGGCCCCAGCTGAAATTTGAACTGTTGGTTTGTCCTTTTATGTGTAGTGAACACAAGATACCAAGTAGGATTTATAAAAAGGTTATTGTTAAATATTAGCAGTAAACCCAAGAGAAATCCATGTTCTGATGTTGCCAAGAAGTGTCTTCTACTCCAGCCATGCAACATCTTCCTTCTAAACTAAGGTCAAACTTTTCCCCTTCCCACATCTTCTTCCCAAAGGCAGCTGCCCTTTCCTGAACCTGTGTGGTTAATGTTAGTCTAAAACCAAGTTACTGATCTTTATTACAGTAAAAAATACACCAGAAAAAAAAGTATGATTGAGGAAAAAAAGACATCAGAGAGATGGTTCTTCCACTGCCTTTCTATCAGAAAACTCAAAATAGTGAGTAGTCTGTTCATAACAATACGCAACACCTTCAAACCATCATTTACAGTTTAGTAATCCCTAAAGCCCATTATGCAATGTACTGCACATTTCTTAAGAAGAGCAATATATGTTCCAAATGGTTTACAATTCAAGAGAAGACACTACAAGTAGGAGAACAAACTCAGAAAATCAGGCAGTCCAATCATAATCCTACTGGCATGGATAACACAAACAAATAAGAGATGATAGCAACAGTCTGTCTTGTTGGAAAGTTTATGTGTCAGAGTTTCCCACAGGACGGTGTCTGAGTTATACTAAATATTAGTTGCATGTGGCATTTTCTAATGGTAAAAATGTTGGAAGATACAGGAAGGCAAGGTTTTTTTTTATTTCCAAGAATTAACAAAAGCCTTTTTTTTCCCAGGGCAATTATTCTAAAACACGTGCCAAAAGTTTACATGTGTGATACTTTCTTGTAATAAATTAGTAGATACATTAATATTCAGGATGAGCTTCCCATCACACCTGAACAGAAAATTTCATTAGTCCCTGAAGCAGTTCCATATCCACTGAGGTTAGCTCCACACCTTACATCTCTACGGAGCATGCCTTAATGGATTACTTTTCCAGTAGGATACTTGTTCTGTAACGCTTTGCCATGTGAAACTCTCTTGGATGTTCAGACTTCACTGGCAATATGGAGGACAACATTAGACTCTTATTGCATTGCAGTGGTTGCTAGCAGAAGAAAAAATCATGGATTAACATGAGAGGCATCATGTAATCCGATGTCATCAAGAAAAGTCAGCGTGCTTAAACAGTCTGGCTGGGGTGAGCAGAGAACATTTTGAACAGTGATCCAGCAGTTAGAGCATTTGGCTTCTAGTGCTAGGTTGTACTGATGTTATATCGGCATCCATCCATTTGCTGTCTGTAGAGCTCTGTAGTCTGTTCCTCCTTCTGAAACAGAGAGAATTCTGTGCAAACTCTGCAGCTATTTTCCCTCTTAACTGGGTTAGAACATAATGATTCAGTCAGCTCTTTTTCTAAGCTGTAAAGGTGAGCTGGTAAAACTTGTGGTCATGCGGTCTTTCTGGCTAACTTAGAACACAGAGCCGGAATAACTACAGAACCAGCTGCATACGTAATGGCAGCTTTTTCCCTTGGATACTCAGACTCCCACAAAGCCAGACCTCATGAGCACATGCCATCTTATTCTAAGGCCTAGGCTTTTCTAAAGTGCATTTCTATTCTCTTGCTGTTCTTCACTGAATTTAACTTTCGATTGAAAAGCCACACATTGCATGTATAAATGGGTAAGATGACAACAGGGAGGCAGTATCAGGCCATGACATCCTCATGGGGGTTCTAAGCCAAATGAAATCTGCTGGAACACATTTTTGTAATGCTGTTTTAGAACTGAAGTGTTTGATTGGAAGCTAAGTGTCCTGTGAGGTAAAACAAGATCATGGTGCACTGAAGTCTAAGGCAGAACTACATTTACTTCAAGAGGTTCCAGCTTTTTCTGCCATATAATTTCAGTTCTTGTCATGGATTTTTTTATTTTATTTTTTTTCAGTGATTTCACCAAAACCTGATGATGATCCCACTTTCAAGAAAAATCATGAAGCTTGGAAGTTTTTTGAAGGTAATGATGTGTCTATAACAGCTACTGGTTCTATACAAGATGTTAATTTAGTCCAGTGCTACAGGACAACTACAATGCCTCAATCAGGATCAATTTTGCTAGTTCCTGTGCAGACTCAGGCCTTTCCTGAGAAAGCACCCCACAAGGTACAAGGAGAAAAGAGAATGGAAGGTCCAGCTTCAGTTTCTCATATATTCTCATATATATTCAGTTTCTCATACATTCGTGATGGTCAATGGGAAAATAACCTATGCCTGGCTAATCACACAACACAAATGCAGACCTTTATTTGGGAAGGTGCTGAGCATGCCTGAAGAGGCACTGAGCGTACTATGCTCCTGCTAGCCTTAGAAACTGTTTACTAAACATGCTTTTCAATACAAGAGAAGCTTAAAGCTCCCTTGATTTTCAAGGCAAGCAGTATTTTCTGTCCAGGAGACTGAAATCCAGAATCTGCACACAGTTGGGATTCCCTTCTTCTCCTCCCACCCCAATCTGGAACATCAGCAAAGCACCAGCACAGCATTTGCAGCCACTGCACTGCCTGCCAGGCAGGATTGCTTGCTTGCAGGATGGTCTTGATTCTATGGGGAGCCTTGCTGTTTAAACCACAATTTACAAACTGTATTGTTGAACTGTGTAAGGGGAACAAAGCACAGAACTGCAGGTCAGGGGTCTAGTTCAAGCAACGCTATTTTCTACAAGAACACTTGACCTTTGAGGCTTAGTTTCCTCTCTGTGAAGCAGGAAAGAAGCCAGTATAGCTCCCTTAGGACATTTCAAGGCATTAATGGGTAGAGCATCCTTAAAATACTCTACTTAGAGTTCTAGTAAAAGCAGAAATAAGTCATTAAAGATTTCTTCTCCTTCTGAATAAAATACTCCATCTTGATCTGCCATGGTAGAACTCCTGTCAGCTCCACTGGGAATGTGTTACGGCACCCAAATGAAAGCCATAAAGGGAGACTGAGGCTGTAGATTGAAAAAGAAAAAAAAAACATACAGAAGTTTCAAGCTAGTGCTGCCACCAGAAGCAGCAATGGAAGACTTCCTCCTTCTTCATCAGCCACTCAGTACTCTCCCCACTGCCACTTTTCTTGTGTTTGCTTGTTGGGTTTTTTGGTTTGTTTGCTTTAAAAAGTACAGCTGTTTTAACTGGGAAATAATCCAGCTGAGTTCCTTTTAGTTTTTTGTTGGTGTACAAAACAAACCAAAACCAACACAAACCCAACCAACCATCAAACAAACAAAAAAGGGAAAGAAAATAAAAGGAAAAAAGCTCCGCCAAGTCAGCACTTCTTTCCTCCCTCATGAAAGTAAGACCTCTTACTTTACTTTAAGCACACCTCTTTGCATTTATGGAAACACCAACCAAATTTTAAACTGAGCAGGATACTATATGAAAGTCTCAGGAGGGTCTAATTACTTTGAACTGTTACATTAAATCTTTTGAGCCTATTTAGATCTTGTAGGTGTAACTTTCTTCTATCCTTTAAGCGTGAAGCATACAGCTGCAACTGTGACTGACATCTGTGCTTGGCTTTCAGATCTGTACGTGTATGCAGTGTTTGTGTGTTCAATAGGAATTATCAGCGTCCTCCTTTTTACACTTGTCATTCTCTGTCAGTCACTTCTGAACAGGAGAAGATCCACAGGTGAGTGAAATGTAATTCTTGCTGTCTTCAAGGCCTTTACCAAAGAGGGAGAGGGGGTATAAATAGAATGCAGGAAAAGCAGGAAAGCAGGAACTCCTTGCCTTGATTTTAATAAAAACAACAACAACAAATTCATATAAAAAATATTTTTGCCAGCAAGAGTAGAACAAAGGTGTTTTAAATTTGCATTTGGCTTTTCAAAACTTTTCAGCTTTGCATAAACATAGATTGAAGGTTGTTGGAACTTCTTTCAAGGAAGACAAAGTGCTGTATCATTAAATTGGAGTCTGATTGGAGCTAGCTAACATTTTTCATGAGTGACATTTCTGCAGATATTTAGAGGGGTTTCAAAGCAGTCTCATTCTGTCCTATTTTATTCTCCTTTCCAGACTAGCTGGCAATATTCTTGTAAAAATGGTGGTTGTTACTAGCCCTTTCTCTTTGTAACATCCTTTGAAACTAAAGCATCTTTTCATCAGTCAGATCTGATTTTTCATAATAGTCTTTCAAGATCAAGGATTACTGTTTCAATTTTTTCTTCCTTGGAGAGAGTTTCTCAAAGAGGCTACATCTGCATGAAAGCAGCCTTGTTATAATCAGAAGTGCTATTTCAGATCTGTGGAGTAAAAGGTGCAAGCTCTACTTTCATTTTGATTTAAGAGTGGTTTATTTGGAGACCTCACACAAGCTGTGGGGTTGAGATACCAGCATACTTAGCATCCACCATGACAGAGGAGAGCGTAAGGGCCATCTCTGCACAGAAGCTTTCAAAAAGAGTTTGGTTAGTGGTTTGTCCTGTTAATAACAGGAGAGAATCATGACTTTACTGCTTCTTCAGCACCACACATATACCACAAAGGAATGAGTGACTCAGATACACAGGGCAGAAGACAAGTAAACAAAAAATAGGTGCATACAGAGAAGTCCTTTCCTGACCACAAACACATTTCAGGCTGTGGCTCTGTCTCCCTGGTAGTGCACTCAGTAGAGTAACTGATTCTAACTGAATCCAACAGCTCTGCTTGCCAAGAGGAAGGAGCAAAATCAACATTATTCTCCCTGGCTTTGTCCCAAGGGAGTACCCACACTTAAGTACGTTGGTCATGGTGAGTCACCCTGAAGCTTCAAGCAGTAGACATGCTGATGTAGCCTGTTTTCTTGAGCAGACATTGGGCTAGACTTTGCCTCTGTTTTTGCTGATTTACATTAGTGTAAGCATGGAAGCAACTTGGAGAAGAGGCCTCTTTACATTGAACCAGTATCAATTAAATATAGAACTAATATAGAATATAATGCAGAATAAGCATATACAACAGAGAACAAGTAATTTCTTCTCAGCTGCTGGATCCTTTCTTCGCTACCTTAATATCTGAATAACTGCAGGCTTCACCAAATTTTTATTTAGATTTTGAACATTTTCCAGTAAACACTGGCAACATTAAACTTATGGATTCAATGGAAATACAACAGAACAAAGCTTAGCAGACAGGTACTCAGGATACAGTGATAAGCTTTTCATGCAAGTCTGTCAGCCAGGACCACCTGATCAGCGTATTTTCTGTAATCACATTAATTGCCTCAGCATCCGGTCAGGAATCAGGGAATTAAAATTTCTGAAGCAGCGGTAGAAGAAGCAGCAGTGACACAGTCTCTACCAGCCCCATAAGGCTTTTTCTCCCCACAGCCTCTGGGCCAGGGTAGCAAGCTCAGCCCTGAACTTCTGCCCCAGGGAGCAGCAGTTCCTGGAAGGTGCTGTTTCCACTCTGACATATGGCAATAGGGCACAAAGAGCTCCCTGCTCTCTCAACACTCCTCTACATCCTCTAGAAGCACCTTCCAGGGGTTAGGGTCTGACCATATGATACCCCCCTGCCAGCCAACAGCAGTACTCTCTCATTCAGACTGTTAGAAAAAGGCATCACTCCTCAAAAAAATGTTATCTTACTTCCTCTCCATCCTCAGCACTCTGTATGACCATCCTGGGCTGGACTAGGCAGAGGCTAGTATTCATGTGAAAAGAGCCTGCAGTGAAATCATGAAGTCCATCCTTCCCTGAGAAAAGGAGAAAAGACAGGAACAGCAAAGAAATTCTCCCTCTGCATCACCCCAGACCTCCAGGCAGGCTACAGGCACAGCTGCCTTTTGCCTTCAGTTAGGTTTTTGCCACATCACCTTCCTCTGAAGCCCCTCAAGAAACACCTGGCTCTGTTCTTCCCCTTGAGACCAGGTCAGGAGGCCAGGACAACCAAAACTATCTCCTTACCTCACCTTGCTGGGCAGATTTCCATCAGGGCTTCTTCCTGAACCTCTTCAGTCACCCCACCCCTGTCACAGAGACAGCAACAGCCCCTTCTGCTTTCCCACCACTCTAGCATCCTCTTCCAGTTCCTCAGCCCTAACACCACAAAGAGGATGAACTGCTCTGCCCTAGCGCTGTGTATAAGGAGTGGAGGCAGACACCCAAGTAAGGGGAGAAGAGGGAGGGAGGGAAAACTCTGGCCAGCCCTCTACAAGAACAGCCCAGCCTGGGATAAAGAGCAACTCATACACAAACTAAAAGCTGAGATTTGCAGTAAAGGAAGCTGGAAATGATCACTCTGGAGTGTTTCTCTGTGTAACCTGAGCAGCTTCTGGCTCATCTCAGGGCTCTGACATGAGAAGGGTAATCCTGAACTCAGTTCCTCACCAAAGGAGGTCGCTTGGTTTGACTAGATTGGCCATGCAGCTAGGGCTGGCTCACAGCACAGGGTACCTATGGGATTCTGTGGGAAGCAGCAGTGGTTGCAGCTGGCAACTCCTTTATGGTTATGTAGAAGCCTATGCCCATTTATTACAGGAGTGGTTGCTCTTCCCAATCCCTGGTGCAGGGCAAAACAAAATAATACATACCTAGAGATGCTCAATAGAAGCATGTCAACAGCATGCATGAGCATCCCCTTACTCCTGAGGGGTCAGACCTACTGTTCTCATGTATATCTTTAAAAGGCCAGACAGACAGTTGGAAGCACTGACAGGTAGAAGCCAGCTTAGACTTGGCCTCTGTGTTAGCCCCAGTTCCTAGTGCTCTCAGCTTCCTTTCCTTAGAACTAAAATACATCCCCTAGGAGGTTCTTTAGAATGGAAGAATTGAGGTAAGACAAAATATGAAAACTTTCCTGTAGAGAGGGGCATGATCATGTAGTGCACTAATGTCTGGTCTCCATGGCCTTTTAAAGAATGGAGAACATAAAGGGAGGGTGGTGTCTATGTTGTATCCAACTTCCTATCATGGCCCAGGGATGCACCCTTGTTTCCTCTGAGGAATAAGTTGGCAGTAGGTTGACCAGAAGAGCCAGAGCCTCTCCTTCTGCTTGCATGTCTCTGCATGCTGCACAGCTTGGGCAGAGCACAGAAGCCGCTAAGCTACAAAGAGCATCTTAATAACCGTGGCTCCTGAATGGCTGCAGTGGGGGGAGCTGCCCTTAACTCAGGACTACTGAGTCAAAGGAATGTGTAGCAGAAGGATTTATATAGCTCACACACACAGCTGTTAGGGACAGGATAGTGGCTGGACTGGACCTCTGATCTGATCCCAGGAGGCAGTTCCTTTATGCCTGAGGCCACAGTCTAGCTTACATTAGGAACAGTACTGGCTCCTGTGGGTGAATGGTTTATTTCAGGCTTCTGGAAATAAATAGAGGCACCACAAGGGAAATAAAAGTCTTCAAAGTAAAATTACTGGCCTGCTGTGCATGTCCTTACCAAGCTGTCTTTTGGCTGGACTGACCACTGGAATGTGTGTTGCCCAGCACTTCCACAGCAGATTTTTGCTGTTGTTTGATACATTCCCCTTTCCTAAGCCTATGTGTTTTAGTTAGTTTTTTAATGCACAATATAACATATGGTGACGATTAGAAGATCTCCCAGTGTAACAACCTGGCAGCTCAGCAGTCTCAGCAGCATAGGTCTGTCTGCAGTGCCTCATGTAACTCATAAACTGTGTTGGTGTGAAGCCACATTTTCCCTCTTTTTTCTTTCCTTTAACAGTGAAACATTACCTGGTGAAATGCCCCCAGAACAGGTAGGAGATTGCACTTCTCTTTGCTATAACCCAAGGCACCAGTTTTTTGTTTTGCTATAACCCAAGGCACCAGTTTTGGTTTTGTTTTGCTATCTGTGCTGAAGAAGATGAGTGATATTTTCCAAAATACTTACAGGAAGATCCCAGGCCCATGACTCATGAACGTGCCTGAAAGCCTACATCTGCAGTGCATGATAAGGGAGATCTATCTGGGCTATCTAGCTGTAGGTCCTGCAGGTGCTTCAGTGACAAGCTTCTCCTTGAGGCTCTGAGTTGCTTTCTGGAGAAGCCTACTTTCATTCTGTATGGTTTGCCAGGCTTTCCTGACGCCTCACTAGATGGTAATGACTTAAAACATCCATGTGTATAGGACAGACCACAATGTTACCCAGTGATTCCCACACCGAGGAAAACAGACTGGAGTTTAAAAGCAGTTTTTTCAAAGCCCAGAGGCTATTCCCCGTTGAAGACTCCAAGTGATGGAAAAAATTCTACTTCTGCTTCAGTCATTAATCCTTGCCTCTTTAAATAGCACCAACATCCACAAGTTTTTGATCGTGTGGTGCTATAAAACTGATTTCCATCATATGATTTTCCTGAGGTATAAATTGTGCTGGAAATGCAGTAAACGAAAAAAAATGACAGAAGTATTTTACAAACAAAAAAGATTAAAGAAGGATGCTTTATAAGAACTCAGAAGAACGGCTGTTGCCCGGTTTTCAGTGACATAGAACATGTGTTTCCAGCCTTGCAGTTAAAACCCAGTATCACTTGGTATCACAGATACTATTTCTCACAGTATCTAGGAGTCTATGAGATTCAATGCCAAGTAGAGCATACTCTACATCATCAAATAGTGTATTTTTTAGTGCATTCTCATGGGATTATCTCTGTATTCAATCTAACTGACACTCGGATGTAAATAAAGTCACAATAAAACAAAAGAGAGTTCAGGAAAGGCCAGTACAGACTGAAACTTTCATGTTATTCATGGAAAGATCTTTGTTCTGTGACCCTGACCAGCCGTTGCACCATACCAAAAATGTACAGACAGCTCAGCAGTTTTCATTTTCCCCTGGATGTTTTTTCTGTCCTCTTCTCTATCAGCTGCTGGGACAAAGTTGGAATTATAAAAACAAAACCAAAAAAACAACAGAAGGGGAAGAGGGAAGAAATCAAAGTAAATCAGTAGAGGACACAAGAAGAGAAGAAAAATGAGACCAGACTGAAAAGATGACTGAAACTATGGAGCATGGCATTCAGATAAAATGGCTTGTGCTACAGAATCCGCATCTCTGGGAATAGATATGTGATACTACTGCAAATACTAAACTTAAATGGCTGAATATTGGGGGAAAACAAGCCAACATGATTTCTTCACTGTAAAATGGAATATCTTGAAGCACAAGAAATGCATAACTCTATATGGATAAAAAGACAATTTCATGCATTTAAGTGTGACAAGATATGCTAATGAAAGCCCCACTCCCACAAGTGCATGTGTAAAGTGAAGTGCATTGACTTCAGGGTTGCAAATTAAACAGCTATGAGAGTTTTACCAGTATCATATTTTTTTACACTTGCTACCACTTATTTTATACTCTCTGCTCAAAACACAAACCATTAATTCCTTTGAACTCATCTCTCTTCACCTGTGAATTCCTTGTCTTGGAACTTGATTCACACATTTAGACCCATATCCCAGTGTCTAAATATCCCTTAGGCCAAACTGATGAACTCATTTGTATGAGATTCCTGTCAGTCAGAACGACTATGGTGTGCAAAATTCAGCCTTGATTAAAGAGGCTCAGCTCCAACTCCCTTAGTGATATTTCAAACTCAGAGCAGAATCCAGTTTCAAAATTACATTGATAGTTTGGTGTCTAAGAAATGTCTGTACTCCCACTGCAGTAATACCTAAGCATCTTAGAATATTTTGTCTTGACATCATAATGGTGTTTTTCCTTTATTGGAATCTGAAGCACAAAGGGCTAAATGACTTGCCCCAGGTCTCACAAAATGGCCTTGGTAGAAAAGGAAATCAAATCCAGATTTCCTGGGCAGGATAAAGCAAATGTTTAGGTTTTGGTTTGCTACTTGACCAAGAACAAGTTAAGAAAAAAAATAAATACAAGCTAACCTAAACCCATTTCTTTCCCACATTTTAAAAATAAATACCTAAATAAAAAGTATAGCTATTTTGGGGTTTTCAAACCACATAATTCAATTTTTGGAGTTGGGTTATTTTTTTCCCTTTAAATATTGTCCTTATTTTCTTCATTGTTATTAGATCATTTAGTCAGTTTTCAAACCCAGAAAGCCTCGGGAGGTGTAGCTTTGAAAATAGGCATTATTTTTTTCTGTGTTTTGTATTTGTTTTGGCCTGAACTCCCTAGTCCTTCGGTGGCTGCTCTTCTGGAAACAAATAGCTCGAGGTAAGAAAAGTATTCACCCAGAAATCTGCTCATACAGGTGTCCTGGTTCCACACTGCCTGTCCAACACTGCAGGGTCAAATTCTGCCAGACTGAACCAGAACTGAGTACCCAGTCCATCCCTGGCATCTTTCACACAGCTTCCCTCTTTGGAAAATACCAAAGCAGCTCCCAGTTCACTCAAGCGGATTTTTTGCCATCCCTCTGCAGACCTTTGGCAAGAGAAAATAGCTGACTTAGATGACAACAGGAAAAGTCCAACTTCCTTGACTCTTAATAAGGATAGTAAACCCAAAACTGTAGTAGTTCGACATCTCTTGGGACAGCCATGACCTCCAGAGAAAATGCTGCCCCAGTGCCATGATTGTTAGACACCTTCCACAGGTTTTCCCCCAGATTCATGTGTTTTCCTTGATCTCAAAAAACTCATTAGATCCCACAAGAAATGCACAATGTGACTGTTGAAATAGAAGCCAGGAGGCTGGAGGAGGAGCTGGAGATAAAAAACTAACTTTCCTTTTAGAAATAGAACAAGACAGGCTCACAAAGAGGCAGTGTTTCGGAGCCAAGGAGTCTTTTCTGAGCCGCCTTTAGTTTGAGGAGCTCAGTTCTAAGACAGCAAGTACAGTTATTGTATCTCCCAGAATTAGTTAACCCTGTATGGCCCTGGCATTTAAAAGAAAAGCGCAAGCTGTGGATACATTTCTCTGTAGCTTCACTTTTTTTCAGTGGCAAAGCAGGAATAACCAATGCAGTGAATTGACACTAAGCCTTTTCATGTATTGTGCTTAAAGTAGCTATATCAGGATAATAGTATCTTTAAGCTACACATCTGCCTTAATGACCTTGGATTACTAAAACCAAAAGCATTTAAAAAAGCACTCTTGTCCCCTTTTTGGCATTCTTTGTTCTTTGCAGTTTGCTGTGTTTGAGCAATGGAGCCAGTCAGGACAGCTTCATTTCCTGCTGGTTTAAATCCATTTCATGTTTTGTTTTTAATATAGAAACAAATGGTTGTTGTGGGATAGGTTCACAACAGTGCAGGCAGACTTTGAAATTATTTTAATGCAACCCTCAGTTTACATAACTGGTGTGATTTGTTTATACACCATGAAAATATTTTACCTTTTAAACACTTTAAAAAATAAAGCTTGGCAGCAAAGCTAGGTTTTGGACTGAGTACATGGAACAGAACTCAGGAAAGTCAGCAAACCAGAGTCTTTTTGTAGTCTACACAAGTGTAAATCCAGAGTGATTTTACCAATGGCAGTGACATTCATTTGGATGTGTGAAATGATAATGTCGGTTATTTTGTTATTCTTGTGTGGGCAATAGCTGAGACATCTTAACTTTCATTGAGGTTTTGGCCCAGTTTGAGTATTTATTCTATTAATATAAAGAGAATGTTTCATTAGCAGAAGAACCTGGAGAGGAACAGCAACCTGGGACAAATTATTTAAGATTCAGTGAAATCAGTGTTGTCAGTGTTATGACTATGGAGACCCTGGTTGGATCCCATTATGTGGTGTAACTCACCAGCACAGAACAGAAACGCCTCCACAACCACACTGCCTTAATTTTTCCCAGAGTCCCAGGTATGGTCATATGCATCTGAGCAACAGCTGCTTACCAAGTTACCTCCACTACCGTAGTCATCATAACTAACTGCTATACACTCTCCTCCCATCCCAGCTGTCAGTTATCTTTCATTAGCTGTTAAGAAAATACAATTTTATATCACATCAGTTGCAAGATAGGAGCACTGCACAGCAACCACAGCTCAGCTGTCACACGGTGATAGTGACTGCAATCTGACTGTGTATCCAAACCCTACATATTCAAAGCAGCATTTATGATCTAAGGCTTTTAGAGATGTGAAGGGTAAAAATCCCACGTGAGCTTATATAAGTCACCTAACCTGTTTGCACCTCTGGCCCTCAAGGACAGACAGCTACAAGCTCATCCTGGGTGAAGCAATGGGTCATGCATGTTTTTAAGGAATAGGTGCTATAAAATGATTTTTGCTTATGCTTGACATCGCATTTTCTGCCCCAGGACAGATCACACTCTTGTGTTTCTCAGCTTGTATGGTTGAAAAAATGCAAGACCCAGAGCATGTCCAACCCCTGTATGAAGTTTTTCAGTATATCCCCAGGTCAAAATCCAAGTTGCTGGGCAGGGACACTCCCAAGTAGGTGGTGATGTGTTTGCATGAACTCACTGGAATGAACTGTCTTTCCCTGCACTGCCTTCACTTTTCCCTCACATATGGGCCTCTGCTTTGCAGCTCTGGGGAGACAGTTACCAGTGTGACAAGCATGTCCCCTCTACAGCCCAAGAAGGTAAAGAAAAAGAAAGAGAATCTGGAGCAGCCACCAGCCATCCCAGCAAAAGGTATGAAAATAGAGATGTAGAGCTGTTTCAAATCCTGAGCACAATTATAGTGGCACAGCAGTGTGGGATGTGACCTGTGCTTGCTCCCATCGGTGGGGGAAGAAATGGTCCGTGCCTGCTCCTGGGACCAGGATTTTGCCTCCCTGCAGCTTTAACTATTGCAAAGCTAGTCACCAAGTCCAAGCAAAAGGTCTCACCTCTCAGTAATCAGAAGAGGCAGAGGAACCTCTACAGCAATATTCAGGCAGGATGAAATTTCATGTTGGGGGTAGCCTGAGGGAAGCCAGTACACTGCACTCAAATTTCAGGTCACTTGTGAAGTCAAGCAAGCTGAGCAGGTAGTGATCAACCTCTTGGGTTGATCTCAGGGACTTCACTTTCAAAGAAGATTTGTGATTGCCTCTGGGGTCAGTCTCACAAACACTCGGGTGTACTTTCTGAGCTCTACCGCCAGTGCCAAGATACTGGGAGAGAGGAGGAAATGGACCTGAAGGTTTACTGTGGGTTAGATCACAAGTGACCAGCTCTCAAGGGGTATAGTTTCTTTGGACTCTGCACACAAACAGCATGTTTCGCATATCATATTTGTTAATCCTATGGGGTTCTTTTTTCTAATTTGTAAACTCTATGCTTCATTTTAAAATATTACCTGAAATACAGTTAAAATCTGGTATAAATACATGTATTTGCTCCTAATCTGCTATTAATCTGTATTTTATAAACTGCTAATGTATATACTAAAACTGTCAGTGAATGATGATGATATAAAATGTTCCCTTAATATTTATTTCTATAGCTCCAATAGCCAATAATTTTCCTAAGCCCAAGCTCTTGAAACCTCAAAGAAAATTGATCCTGGTAAGTAATTTTCTATGACATTAGTTTCTCCATACTCTTCTCTCTCAATACAATGGTTGTATTGTTGCCAGAACTTTTAGGTTCAGAAATTCTAAATTGGCTTTAAAAATAGTACAAGTATTTTTTTTTAAAGTAATACTTTTTAAAGTAATTAATTATCGTGGCTTTTTTTTTTCCCCACATTGAGCATTAGGTTACACTGGATGATGTTTTCCACCTTTCTAGCAGTCATCATGTCTACAAATGTATCCTGTTCTTACACAAAACCTGCTAGTGATTCTCACATTCCTCTGGCAGCTGGTTGGTGCTTTGGAAAAAATACCAGTTACTGACAGAATTATAACTGTACTGGTCATACTGCTTTTGAGACTTTTCAAGTCAGAAATGGGGAGCCTGATTCTGCTCTATTGTGCTGTAAGTCAGGAATAACTGAATTGGAGGTATAAGATGTTTGTATATAGCTCATACTAAGGAAAAAAGCCTCACATAATAATTTCTGTTTGAACCCATACAGATATATGCCAGACAAAACAAATAGATGGAGTGGTGCTTCTCTGCTATAGTAACAAAGCAATACCTGAACAAGACATCCAGGGGTCATAGAGTTTTCTACAACTAACTTCAGCTGCCTTTATAAAGACGCTAGTCTTCTAGACTTTCTGTATAGTCATATACAAGAGAGGTGAATGAGGGTAGGAGCCTGGTGCTTCTACTAATTCAGACTAGATGCTCTGAATTTTCTGCTGGGAATCCTTTCTTCTCTGGCAATACACAAAGCCCAGAGTGAGTAACTCCCTAACTTAGATGAAGTTAAAATTTATGTGCTTAAATTCAAGCCATGTGAATAACCCAGAAGCCCCTATGATGACTTTGGCTTTCAAGTGGGGCCTAGACTTCGGAACCTCCCCACCGATTTTCAGTAAATACCTCTGCCCTTTTAAGCATGGTCAGGGTACAACCCAGGATACCTTGTGACTTCAGAACAGCTCAGGTAAAAACTTAGGTGATACTGCTGCTTGGGTATGAAGTTCACATCTCCTCATCCTGCAAGGATTGCTCCTTGCTCAGGCACTGCTTATGCAGGTCAGGTTTCAGTAGTGGAAGAGGTAAGGGTTCTCTAAGTCTATGATAAAACCTTTATATCCATGTAGGTAATTGTGTTGGGCCAAAGACATGTTAATAGTACAAAGACACAGATGAGAGCACTTGGCATCAGGGAATGACAGCCATCCTTTGCTATGCACACACTACATTAATCACTGTGCCAAGGCACACAGGTACATCAGAAATCAGTCTTCAGCCCTCCTAGGAAAAGCCCTCATCAGCTAAAGCACTCAGACTCTTCCTGCAGGTCAATAAAGCACATCAACACATGCTGAACTTGAGGTAAATCTGTTTCCAGATGCTTTTTCTTTCTGGAATAAATCCAAGGATAACAAATAGCTGTTGGCTCCTCCCTTCTTCCTATGCAACCCCAGTCAAGGTTCAACCTCTTTAGAAGTGAGCAGGAATAAGCCTTTTCAAACAATGAAATCAGCTTTGTCTTCACTAGCGTGACTGAGGATCCACACGCTGCCAGTCAGCAGATTCAGTTTGATGTCTTGCAGTTGGATTTGAGTCTGGCAGCTGTTTCCATATGTTGCTCTTTTCCCTTTCATATTCACCCCAGAGTGCACCCAGGGAGACACTGCAGGCTGCAGAAAACCCACAATCTATAGATGTTAGTTTTAAATGAAAAAGTAATCAAAGAAAAATCCAAAATATTTTCAAGACCTGAACTCACCCACCAATAAAGTGCAATAAAGGGTAAAGTAAACTAAAACCAAATCAGTCTATCAGGCTGCATTCAGCAGCTGAGCAGGACACTCCCCAGAGCTGTTTTCTATTTCTGTTTCTCTTGCCTCCCTTTACAACATGGTTAAACCCCCATGGTTTAGTATTATCAGTAAAAAAGAAAATAACTTTTTTTTCTGCTTTTAAATGATTTTTCAGTGAGGAAATTAATTTGAAGCAAAAGAAGTTTCAACAAAGACACAAAATGGTAATAAATTCATCTAAATGAAGCATTATATTGATTTGCAACAAAATTGCCTCCTCATTTTTTTTTAGTTTTCAAAAAATTCTCAGATTTCAAATTCTTAGTCTGCTTTGGGAAAAAAAAAATCAAAACAAAACACAACCATCATCCTGCCAAATCTCTGCAGGATTAAGGTTTTTTTTCTTTTCTGCTAGAACTATTGCACAGCTGGTGTCCATACTAGGTCTTTTTCTCACTGATGGCACATGATAATGGTCACTACAGACTCAAATTGCTGTATTTCTGGATGCCTTCTGCAACTTCCTTCTGCAACCCAAGGAAGGTACAAGGCACAAGAAGAATATTTCAGAAAACCTAAGCAAACAAGCAAGAGTATAAGGGAACATTACAAAGTAATTCTAGTGTTTTGGGAAATTTTTTGTAATAACCTAAATACCAGCAAAGTTATTTCCAGAGGACATGTGCTTCTGGTTTCTTGAAAGATGTTTATAATAAGCTAGAGAATTTCTTTTGTTGTTAACGTACTGGAGTGGGTTGCAGTATAATTTTACAGGAATACAATAACCTGGATAAAATATGGACATAATCTCAATGAAAATTAAAAAAAAAGAGAGAAAGCCTAATATTGTGTTCAATTACACAGCCTTGAGTAAAGTATTTTTAAAACTCTGCTTAAGTCATATTGCTTTTGCTTTAGCCAGAATAACAATTCTATGCTCCCCTTGTTGCAGAAATATTCCCCATTAGTGTCATTCTCTATTAGCATCAATGAAAAATGTGTACAGATCAAAAGAAATAGAGATGCTGAAATGCAAAAAGGGATGGTTTTTATAGCATGCAAGAAGCACAGAGAATCATTAGGAAGAAGAAAATTCTAGGGGCCCACAATTTCTGCTCTCCAAGGGCTGTTCTGCTATAGCCTTAGCCCTTTGAGTTGGCAGAGATGAATCTTAACTTCCTCAAACAAATTTTCCACTAAGCCTTTCATTGCCTCCTAGAGATTAGTTGTCATAGCCTGAGAGTGTCAGTTGCAGAGCAGCATGTAAATGAAAAGGTTTCAGTGTCTTTTCTTGAAGGTTTGCACCACCAAGGTTAGGAGCTCCTGTGTGATTCACTAGAGCAAATTGGAAGGGATGAGACTTCAGGTTAGACCAAATCCTGCAATAGTTACTTGTGCAAAATTTTTGTTGACTTCATCATCTACACACTAAATTTGAAGGAGGGGAATACGTGCATTGATAAGACAGGTTATAACGAATCTTCCCGATTCTGTTGCTGACTTATGTGGCCTCTGCTAAATCGTATAACCATCCCACTTTGAAATCAGGGAAACATATCCCGTGTTAAAAATGGTCTTAGTTCCTCAAACATGTTGTACATGCGCACAGTACGGAAGAGTTGGCTTCTGCTGTTCCTACACTGAGTAACCTCTTTACTGGAGTGTATCTGGCTTCTTTTGTTCCCCACCACAGAATATGTATTGGTCCTGTGTGACTTGTGAAGCAGAGTACTCTCAGTGATGGCATCTTAGCTAATTAAGGGAAGCATCCTTTTACCTTCCACTCATATGGCATAGACAGAGTTGATTCGATTGCCAGTGACTCAGCGCCATGTGATGACAGAGATTTTCTTTTGATGATGATACTGATGTAAAAGCTACTTGAGAGACAGGAAGGACTTATGGTTACCTAAGATGGAGGGAAATTTCTGGAAGTAATTTTGTTTACTTTGGGTGAAAGCATGATCTTTGGCACCCATTCTACCTGCCTGCCTTTTTCAGGCACCACCTCTATATTTTATGCTGAGATTTGCAAAGCCAACTCAGAGATCTGGATTCCCAGGTGTTTATAGATGTAACAAATGGGGAGCTCAGATTCCTTTCTGCAATTTTGAAAACTCCATCTTTATTTGCTTTATAGACCAAGTGCTGACAGTGTACTGAGTGCCAGAGACTGCAGGATAGGATAGTCCCTGTACTGAAAGTACTTACTCTGTAATGAGTAATATGTCTGAAAGTCTGAAATTTGCAAGTATTTGTTTAAAGGACAGCTTCCCTGCTACTGCCGTGTCCTTAAAGCAGAAGGGTGTTGAGCAGTAACTTGACATGGCTTTCACCTGTGGAGCTAAGAAGGCTGTGACTTGGTCTTATAGGGATGCTGGGGAGGGGCTCTTCATTAAGGACTGTAGTGATAGGACAAGGGGTAATGGGTTAAAACAAAGGGGGAAGTTTAGATTGGATATAAGGAGGAAAGCCTTTCCTGTAAGGGTGGTGAGTCATGGGAGTGGGTTGTTCAGGGAGGCTGTGAATGCTCCATCCCTGGCAGTGTTCAAGGCCAGGTTGGACAGAGCCTTGGGTGATATGGTTTAGAGTGAGGTGACCCTGCCCATGGCAGTGGGGTTGGAACTAGATGATTTTAAGGTCCTTTCCAACCCTAACTATTCTGTGATTCTGTGATCTGCATGGACTCAGCAAAATCAAGCTTTCAGCATTACACATTTGGCTCAGTGCTCCACATCGGTGTATACTCCTCAACCAAGCAATGAAGGCAGGTGCCCTTTAAGCTGCCCAGAAGCTTAAATTTCCTTTACCTGAAAAACATACATTTCAGGAGTGCATTTCCCATTGTATAACAAAACAGCCAGATCTGCTGTACATCAGAACCAGTGATCATGCTGTCCTTTTTGGAAAGGGGTCTAGGTGAGTGAGTGATTGCCATGTCAGAGCTGTGAAATGTAAAGAGCTGCTTTGGGTTTTGATTGCTGGCAAATTTGTGCCTTCTAAGCTGTGCTCCAGCCTGTTGTCCCACAGCTTCAGCCTCACAACAAATTTACCCTTTGCAAGATTGTTCCTGATGGATGAATTGACTTTTTTCCCTG